AACCATTGTGATGGGATCCCTGGATTTGAAAATTCTCGTAATCCATCGTATCATTTTTCTGGCTGACGCAATACTTGCTTGGTTATGCTCCCTAAACGTTAGATCGCCGGACATCATTATTCCCAAATCCTTGACATGTTGTTTTCCTACTATGGGCACATTCGATTGTGTTTTGTACCCTGTATTATGTTTCAGATCATCATTTTTGCCGTACCTGAGTACCTGGAATTTAATACTGTTAAACATGATGTTATTTTCTGCTGCCCAGTCGAAAACTTTTGTTGATATCAGCTTGTAGTTTTTCAATGTCTTCAGCAGAGGTAATTTTTATGCTGATTTTTGTGTCATCTGCAAAGGATGACACCAAGATAATCAGGATAAAGTGCTAACCCAATGAGGTTATATAGCACTTGGATAGGATAAGGATAAGAGATAGGACAGACGGAAGGAATGATACCTAACTACTTGGACTGGTCTGTACAGCGACAGACTCGCTTCTTGCACGTCGGCGTTCAATACCCGACTATCCAAGTCGTTGGGCGCCATTCCTTCTCTCTGTCCTATCCCAAATCATTATCCTCATATTCCTTCTAAGTGCTATACTGACATAATGGCTTAGCGCTTTCTTCTGCCTTTACCCTACCGTTCCTTACCTGAACCCGCCATTGCGTACAGCGAACAGGTAATTTATAATTGTTATTACTACGTTCTTGCTGTTTATTAGAGGAGAACTTTTCAAGTACTTGAAGAGCAAACTGAAAATCCCTTAAAATTTATCCTCCAATAGTGATTTCTAGAGTACTGGTAGCTAGTTATAGTACTGTTAATTGTGTTTGTGTAGAGTTTAGCCAGTCATTTAACCTGACACAAAGTCAGTATGTGACTATTATTTTTACAGGTTACTTGCAAGTTATTTCCAAGTGAACCCTAAACGGAAGTCTACGGTGGTGTCCGGCCGTGTTTCACTAGCTTGTGCCTGCTCGGCTGCCATCACTGGCCTGGCCCACGACTTGAAAGATCACACTTATATCTAACTTCATCGTCGTCTGCTGCCTCAGTTACTGTGGCCTCTACTGCCATATTTACCGTTAACCAGCCATGACCTTCCTCACTACCACACTAGCCTCACCTGCCACCACCACAACCATACCCTGGTTACCACCACCACCACCACCACCACCGCCACCACCACAACCATACCCTGGTTGCCACCACCACCACCACCACCACCATAACCACCACCACCACCACCACCACCACCACCACCATAACCACCACCACCACCACCACCACCACCACCACCATAACCACCACCACCACCACCACCACCACCACCACCACCAATACACACCTCGAACGCACAATCTAAATAACAGAAAAAAAATACATTTGTCAGGAGCACCGCCAAGATGGCTCCACAAATCATAATACAAATAAATACAATAAAATACACGTGTCAGAAACTGCGGTGAAGTGGCCACCAAAGGCTAGGGGGAGGGGGGGGGGGTGTGCTGGTGTTCCAGGAAGACTGTTCGTGTTGGCGGCTCGTATAATACACCCCCCCCCTCACACACACACACAACACCTACAGTGAGGTATATACACTTCAAAATATATATATATATACACACACTCAATACACAGCCCCGCTCGTGTTCCACTAGGGGCTCACCATAGCCCGTGCTACCTGCAAAGTTTTTGTTCCCAGTAACTGAATCTAAAGCAATAACAACAACAAACATACACCAATACACAGGTATACACACACGGCTCTACACACATGTGTGGTGTCTGGCAGTGAAGGAGCGTGGTTGGTCAGGCTGTTGTGATGTGCACGGTGCCCCGGGGCGACTTAATCCTTACTACACGTCTCACTCTTAGCCTCCTTACCTTGAGGTTACCTTGAGGGTACCTTGAGGTGCTTCCGGGGCTTAGCGTCCCCCGCGGCCCGGTCGTCAACCAGGCCTCCTGGTTGCTGGACTGATCAACCAGACTGTTATTGTGGGGTTATTTCCTCTCCCGCTTGTCCCAGTGGCTGAGGACAGCCTGCCTACCTGTTGATTAGGTCGAGAGTTGCTACACTCCCGCAGTCTGGCCTGCGTCTCAGGCCTGCCCTGCGTCTCAGGCCTGCCCTGCGTCTCAGGCCTGGCCTGCGTCTCAGGCCTGCCCTGCGTCTCAGGCCTGGCCTGCGTCTCAGGCCTGCCCTGCGTCTCAGGCCTGCCCTGCGTCTCAGGCCTGCCCTGGCGCTTGCTTGGTGCCTAAGGTTGCTTGTCGTAGCAGTCGGAAGACCCCCACACAGCCATCACAGCCAGGCTGATCCGGCAACTCTAGATTACTGGCGCACTGTGGAATGTCTTGTATATATATATATTGATGTCCAGCAAGAGGTGCACTCTCAATGCAAGATTCTTCACCCCTATAACGCTGTTAGACAAAAAAAAAGAATATGTACTCTAATTTGAGATTATAGTGCTCACTGATGACTATAATACACTCTATAATCATGAGGACAGTCAGATATATTGTGATTCTCTCGGCCAAGAGAAATCCATGGAAAATAATTTTACACATGGGAGGGAGGAAAGAGAAACACAGAGAACCACAACTCAATATCTCAAACTATGCAATTGAGCAGCAACAAGCGCCAATACCCCAGCAACAGAGCTGTTGCCTGCTCGAGCCACTATCACTTTGCAAACACAATCCAATTGCCAGCCTCGCCGGTAAAATTAAACTAGCGAGAGGGAAGGGAAAACTCTCGCTAAATGGAGCGGAGCGCCCGCTTGATGAAGCGTAAATACCACCACCTCCACCCGAGCACCGACATTAGAGCGCCACCACCACCACCACCACAGCACCACCACCAACGCCACCACAGCACTTCGAACGCCACCATAGCACCGCCACCGCCACCACAGCACCACCACCACAGCACCACCACCACAGCACCGCCACCACAGCACCACCACCACAGCACCACCACCACAGCACCACCACCACAGCACCACCACCACAGCACCGCCACCACAGCACCACCACCACAGCACCACCACCACAGCACCACCACCACAGCACCACCACCACCACAGCACCGCCAACGATATAACAATGAGGTCTCCAATTATAGCTGTGCTTGCTAATTTATGGCTCACTTGAAGCACGACCACTCTCCAGCTGTCCAATATGACAGGTGTTTCAGGTGTGTGGGCCGTCACACATGCCAGGTGTTGCAGGTGTGTGGGCCGTCACACATCCCAGGTGTTGCAGGTGTGTGGGCCGTCACACCTACACATGCCAGGTGTTGCAGGTGCGTGGGCCGTCACACATGCCAGGTGTTGCAGATGTGTGGGGACCGTCACACATGCCAGGTGTTGCAGGTGTGTGGGCCGTCACACAAGCCAGGTGTGTGGGCCGTCACACATGCCAGGTGTTGCAGGTGTCTGTACCATCACACATGCCAGGTGTTACAGGTGTGGGCCGTCATACATGCCAGGTGTGTGGGCCGTCACACTCGATATATCGTACGTCTAAGGAATCTTATCAATTCGTTAAACATGCGACGCGTAAGATGAAAGCACCGCAATATTGACGTATTATTCCCCGGGCTGGGGGAAACAGGTGCATCGTTACGTAGTGGCATAACAAGCGAACGAGGTGATTAAACCCTAAATTATTTTGATCCTGATAGTTTCAGACCCAGAGGTACCGAGGCTCAACCCCCCGCTCTACTGTATCATGAAGAAATAGAGCACCAGCCCTGTGTATAGAGCACCAGCCTAGTGTATAGAGCATCAGCCCTGTGTATAGAGCACCAGCCCTGTGGATATTAGAGATGGTGTAAGAGTTAATAGAGTCCATACCTTATTTGCAAATAAAGTTGAGTCTCATCTTTCTGCTTCTCAGTGTAGTAATCAGAATTATGTGTACTCTATAACCTAGCAATGTCTACTATCATCACACACACACACACACATACACACACACACACACACACACACGCCCTCCTCAGGGGACCTGGTAGCCTGGTGGATAGCACGCAGGACTCGTAATTCTGTGGCGCGGGTTCGATTCCCGCACAAGGCAGAAATAAATGTGCAAAGTTTCTTTTACCCCTGAATGTCCCTGTTACCTAGCGGTAAATGGGTACCTGGGAGCTAGTCAGCTGTCACGGGCTGCTTTCTGTGTGTGTGTGTGTGTGTGTGTGTGTGTGTGTGTGTGTGTGTGTGTGTGTGTGTGTGTGTGTGTGTGTGTGTGTGTGTTATGTGGAGGAAAAAAAGTAATTAGTAAACAGTTGAGAGGCGGGCCGAAAGAGCAAAGCTCAACCCCCGCAAACACAACTAGGTGAATACACACACACACACACACACACACACACACACACACACACACACACACACACACACACACACACACACATCCCCCCGGGATCCAAGAGTCAATGCTCGATCCTGCAAGCACATATAGATGAGTACACACACACACACACACAGACACACACACACACACACACACACACACACACACACACACACACACACATCCCCCCGGGATCCAAGAGTCAATGCTCGATCCTGCAAGCACATATAGGTGAGTACACACACACACACACACACACACACACACACACACACACATCCCGCCGGGATCCAAGAGTCAATGCTCGATCCTGCAAGCACATATAGGTGAGTACACACACACACACACACACACACACACACACACACACACACACACACACACACACACACACACTATACTTTAACAAATTAGTTTAGCAAATGAGAGCACATTTCATTCCAAAAAAATTGCAATATAATCCCTTATAAAGGAATTACAAGCTCTAATAAACTTGTTTCTCTTATAAATACATTACCAGAATGAAAGCGCTTGACGTAAATGCTGCAGCCAGAGACGTAACAAACGCAGCGAGCGACGCGCAGTACTTGGGCGCCATGTCCAGTATATTAGCAGAAACAAAATTACAAACTTGCTAAAGTTTGTCAAGTTTGAGGTGGTATAGCCATGTAGGTCAAATATGTCCCATTAGTGACATTGTGGGCCCCGTCCCGCTGCTGAGGGCCCCGTCCCGCTGCTGAGGGCCCCGTCCCGCTGCTGAGGGCCCCGTCCCGCTGCTGAGGGCCCCGTCCCGCTGCTGAGGGCCCCGTCCCGCTGCTGAGGGCCCCGTCCCGCTGCTGAGGGCCCCGTCCCGCTGCTGAGGGCCCCGTCCCGCTGCTGAGGGCCCCTTCCCGCTGCTGAGGGCCCCGTCCCGCTGCTGAGGGCCCCGTCCCGCTGCTGAGGGCCCCGTCCCGCTGCTGAGGGCCCCGTCCCGCTGCTGAGGGCCCCGTCCCGCTGCTGAGGGCCCCGTCCCGCTGCTGAGGGCCCCGTCCCGCTGCTGAGGGCCCCTTCCCGCTGCTGAGGGCCCCGTCCCGCTGCTGAGGGCCCCGTCCCGCTGCTGAGGGCCCCGTCCCGCTGCTGAGGGCCCCGTCCCGCTGCTGAGGGCCCCGTCCCGCTGCTGAGGGCCCCGTCCCGCTGCTGAGGGCCCCGTCCCGCTGCTGAGAGCCCCGTCCCGCTGCTGAGGGCCCCGTCCCGCTGCTGAGGGCCCCGTCCCGCTGCTGAGGGCCCCGTCCCGCTGCTGAGGGCCCCGTCCCGCTGCTGAGGGCCCCGTCCCGCTGCTGAGGGCCCCGTCCCGCTGCTGAGGGCCCCTGATGGGGACAATAAGACAACCGCTAATCACATTAGTATCGTTAAAATGGTCCGGTCTTTATAGTGGGTGCGTATCTTATCGTCAACGTATCTGCACCCCTTATCACTATCCACTCCCCCTTAGGCTTCAACCATCCACTCCCCCCTTAAGCTACAACTATCCACTCCCCCCTTAGGCTACAACCATCCACTACCCCCTTAGGCTACAACTATCCACTATCCTCCCAACCCCTCCTTTGGCTAATAAAGGGCAAGAGACCGGACTGGTTCGAGGCACCACTGGGGAGTAGTCTCAGGGCTCGGGGGGGGGGGGTTGTCAGAAAATCAAAACTCTAGAAAAAAGTACTAACATCAGCAACAAAACCAGCCAGTTCATCACAACAACAACAACAAAATCCTCAAGAGTAAAACAAAAGCCAAAACAGCTCAGCCTCAGCAATACCCCCCCCCCCCCCCCCCCCCAGGTCAGCAGGCCCGTATAGACACGCAGAGTCCTGCATTACCTTTAATCTACCTAATGCATTTCATACATTACCATTAGCGCTAAATATGTATGTTGTGTCAAAATCAAGGAGTCAGAATCCCCCGGTGAACACAGCGAGGAGCGGCGCCCCCCGCCCCCTACCCCACACACACACACACACACACACACACACACACACACACACACACACACACACGCTCGCCTGCATTGCTCCAGCTTTTAAATATTCAGGGGAAGGTTTCTATGTTGTCCGCCTTGCTCTTACTGGGATAAAACTGAGGTTAATATTTTTTTTTGGGGGGGGAGAGAGGGGTGAGGGGGAAGGGGGGGGAGGGAGTTGGTGTGTTTATTTTGCAATGTTGTTGCTTTTATGTGACTCGCCCCCCACCTCCATGACCTGGGGAGGGGGGGAGGGACACTAGTGTGTGCAAAAGAGAGAGAGAGAGAGACACCCCACCCCCCCAGCCCATGAATATCATAGTCGGTGCAGCTTCCGTCTCCTGATTTGCAATTTATATCAGGAAAACTTGATCACGTGTGAGCATCCGTCCCCTTACTGATAACGATGCTAGTGAGGGGGGGGGGGGGGGGGGGGTCGCTAGTGAGGGCGGGGGGCCGGCTGCCGGCAACACGATTTGCCGTATACATACATGGTAACTAGTAACTAGCGTGTGGCCACGTCACACAGCCCTCACCACCTACACCACTCCCCCGTCTCCACCTACACGGCCCCACCTGCGCCGCTACGCCACCTGATGGGTCGACATTGTGTGCAAAACTCAATGAACTCTGCAACGGAAAGCAGTTTGCAAGTTGGCTTTCATCTGAAGTTCTGTCAGACTAAGGCGCTTGCAGGGAGGGAGGGGGGGGGGGGCTCCCTGGAGCCCCGGGGAGGGGGGATATAGCATTCATTAAGGAGTGCTCGACCTCATCACCCAACACTACAACCCAACCACCCCCACATCACACTCCACTACTACCCCCCACACTAATAACCACTTCACCCCCCCCCCCCACAACTACCCCCACCACCACTACTTTACCCCTACAGCCACCCCCCCCACCACCCCCACCCCCTCCCTGCAGCTACAGGAGAAACTTGCTAAAACACTTTTGTGATATGAGTCCATACTTGTTATCAAGCGAGTGCCTTCATTTGCATACGAGATTCTTGCAGCCGGAAGAAACCTAGGGTGTGCCCACAGGCGGCCGAGGGTGTGACCGCAGGCGGCCAAGGGTGTGACCGCAGGCGGCCGAGGGTGTGACCGCAGGCGGCCGAGGGTGTGACCGCAGGCGGCCGAGGGTGTGACCGCAGGCGGCCGAGGCTGTGCCCGCAGGCGGCCGAGGGTGTGCCCGCAGGCGCCCGAGGGTGTGCCCGCAGACGCCCGAGAGTGTGACCGCAGGCGCCCGAGGGTGTGCCCGCAGGCGCCCGAGGGTGTGCCCGCAGACGCCCGAGAGTGTGACCGCAGGCGCCCGAGGGTGTGCCCGCAGGCGGCCGAGAGTGTGACCGCAGGCGCCCGAGGGTGTGCCCGCAGGCGGCCGAGGGTGTGCCCGCAGGCGGCCGAGGGTGTGCCCGCAGGCGGCCGAGAGTGTGACCGCAGGCGCCCGAGGGCGGTCACACTGCTGGAGACAGAACTTGTAGCCATCAAGAGAGTCAAATGTTCAGCCCCAGCTCTCAGGAGTTGGTAACAGACTTTTTTTCCCACGGCATTAACTTGTAATTGACGAGAAATTTAAGAGAGGAGACAGAAGGAAGGATTAACCCGAGATAGAGACGGGAGATGCTGGGGTAGAGAAGGGGGAGGGGACGAGGGGCGGGGACGAGAGGATGGGAGAGAGGCATATTAGAGAAACAATGGAGACAGAGACGGGGATAGGCAGGATAAACTAGGAGTGGGATAGAGAGGGTGACGCAGCAGTAACGCGGAACAGTGGGAGAAATTTAAGGGAAAGGCAGAGGCAAGAATGGGGAGTGAGGGAAGGGTTGGGAGGGAAATGGGAAGACAAGCTAGAAAGACGGCAAGAGAGAGAGAGTTCACGAAAGATAAAAAATAGGGAGAGAAAGAGACAAGTGGCCCCCCCCCCCCCCATGAGGAGAGGTTCCTCTACTCTATGATGGTTGGCTCATAGTGAAAATTAATTGATTTAACCCCTATTTGGACGGGTAGGTACAATGACGCCCTTGCTTTTTCCAGGCTCGAGCCCCGATGATGCAGGTGGTTGGGCACCATTTCTTGTCTTGGTCTTATCTAGCTGCTTGTGACCTCCTCCCGAGTACTATATATAGTCATAATGGCCATAGTCACAGCGTCCTGATAATTACCTTGTTCTATCTCAAAGACAACTGAAGTGTAATTCTTCAGTAATTGTAAAAAGATCACCACAGACAAATAAATTAGGAAAGAAATGGCATCATTGATTGAAAATAACAGTCGGCGCGGAAGATGGACACAAAGAATGGGTGGTCTAATTACCCTAACTCGTTACCATAACTGTATGGGAGGGGGGTGGGGGTTGGTCTGGCCCTGATTAAACTCTCCAGACACTCGTCTGGTCATGGAGCCTTCCTTAAAAATTAATTGTAGGTTCTTGCCTTGAAATCTCCCGGCACAACATTCCACCTTGAGACTACTGCAGCCATATCATATTTATTCTAAAACTAATTGTCACTCTCGGCAATTAATTTGTCGACATTACACCGACACCCCCTTCCACACACTCACCGACACCCCCTTCCACACACTCACCGACACCCCCTTCCACACACTCACCGACACCCCCTTCCACACACTCACCGACACCCCCTTCCACACACTCACCGACACCCCCTTCCACACACTCACCGACACCCCCTTCCACACACTCACCGACACCCCCTTCCACACACTCACCGACACCCCCTTCCACACACTCACCGACACCCCCTTCTTCCACACACTCACCGTCACCCCCTTCTCCACACACTCACCGACACCCCCTTCCACACACTCACCGACACCCCCTTCCACACACTCACCGACACCCCCTTCCACACACTCACCGACACCCCCTTCCACACACTCACCGACACCCCCTTCCACACACTCACCGACACCCCCTTCCACACACTCACCGACACCCCCTTCCACACACTCACCGACACCCCCTTCCACACACTCACCGACACCCCCTTCCACACACTCACCGACACCCCCTTCTTCCACACACTCACCGTCACCCCCTTCTTCCACACACTCACCGACACCCCCTTCCACACACTCACCGACACCCCCTTCCACACACTCACCGACACCCCCTTCCACACACTCACCGACACCCCCTTCCACACACTCACCGACACCCCCTTCCACACACTCACCGTCACCCCCTTCCACACACTCACCGTCACCCCCTTCCACACACTCACCGACACCCCCTTCCACACACTCACCGACATCCCCTTCCACACACTCACCGACACCCCCTTCCACACACTCACCGACACCCCCTTCCACACACTCACCGACACCCCCTTCCACACACTCACCAGTTATTACCACTATACACACTCACATGTTTAAATAACTCCAGACAATCGCAGTTATTATCCTGACCCGTTTCTTATTTATTACTCCTTCCAACACTAAGGATCTCAGCTTCCAAAGTCATCCTCGAACTGCGAGACAGACACAGTCAACTATATATATAACCTACGTAAGACCAACTTTGCGGTATGCAGCGCAAGGTAAAAATATATATATATATACATATATATATATATATATATATATATATATATATATATATATATATATATATATATATATATATATATATATATATATATATAATATATAATCTCAGACTTATGTCCCGGACAAAACAAATTAAAGGCCGAGAGAGCTGCAACTCACCACGCCGCAAGAATGGCACATCAGAGGGGACATGATACACACATAGAAAATACTAATGGACAATCACGTCCTTGAGAAACTGCAAGACCAGAGAACACGAGTGAAAGTTGAAGAACAGGTTGAGACGAGACACCAGGAACATCTACTTCCAGTAATTTGAACAATCAATAGGAGAAGATCTATGTAAATTCACCAAGCAGCTTCAAAAGAAATAAGACAAACAAGGAACAATTTAAGTAACTGTATTAACTGACTAGGAGTTGGAAAGATGGGGACAGGGAGCTATTACTCGACCCTACAAACACATGAGGCGAGTACATGCAACCACATCCAGGTACTCACCTAATTGTACCTGCGGGGGTTGAGCTCTGATTCTTTGGTCCCGCCTCTCAACCGTCAATCGACGGGTGTACAGGTTCCTGAGCTTCTCAAGCTCTATCATATCTACACTTGAAACTGTGTATGGAGTCAGCCTCCACCACATCACTGCCTAATGCATTCCATCTGTTAACTACTCTGACACTGAAAAAGTTCTTTCTAACTTCCCTGTGGCTCATTTGGGTACTCAGTTTTCCCTTGGGGACAAGGGTACTGTGTCCCCTTGTTCACGTACCTCCCGTGTTAAACAGTTTATCCTTATCTACCCTGTCAATTTCTGAGCATTTTGTAGGTAGTGATCATGTCACCCCTTACTCTTCTGTCTTCCAGTGTCGTGAGGTGCATTTCACGCAGCCTTTCCTAGTAACTCATGCCTCTTAGTTCTGGGACTAGCCTAGTGGCATACCTCTGAACTTTTTTTTTTTAGGTGAGTGCGTGTAGGTGAGTGCATCTTTGGCTCCCAAATACGAGACGCGACCTGGGTGTAAAAATATCCTTTGAAGTGAATGCACTCCAAAATTTGTGAAGGTCTGGGAAATCAAAGCCGGAGTATACAAGAGACAAGGTGGGCCCCCCTCCCCCCTCCCCCCCCCCGCTTCCAACTTTTATATTTATATACGAATTAATATTTCACACCGTTTACATTATAATAGTTAATGGTGAAGACATAAAGAGCCGAGAAAGAAGATGAGAATGAAGGCCTGTACATCACTCTCACTACCTACCCGACTGACACCTTCAAACTGACAGGCAGTTCTCACACACTTCATATACTCTTTGATCTTCTAACTCGGGGTCATGTCTTACAACCCATAAATCTACCTTTTCATCTACTTCTATCCATTAATCATGTCTGCTCTTACTAGATAGAGTAAAATGGAGTGAAAAAAGTGGAGAAAATTTTTTAATGGAGTGTAAAGTTTGTTTCCTTTGCTTCTCCTCAGAAGAAAATTTCCTTAAGACGGGGATTAATTCTGGTCATCCTTCCATGTATACTTTCAAGAGAAGTTATCTCCAGCGGACTGGACGGAGCCCAGAAACTGTGCTGTGGAACCCAAGTATTAGCTTACAAGGGCGGCGCTGGCTCCTTCATAGATAACTATCTTTCAAGGAGATCTTTCTCTCTCTTTCCTCCTCCTCCCTCTCTGTTACGAACCCGACTCCAGCGTCGGAGCATGGAGCAGCGACGTCAACGCCATCTGTGAGTCCGTTCCCGAAACCCCCCCCCCCCCCCCACAACATGGACGACGCCATCTGGTGGTGGCGGTATGATACCTGCAAGAGACTCTAGATTCCTGCCTTGGTCAGCTCGAAAAGTCACTGTAGCTGACCTCTGGTGAGGTGGCGCCTAGAAATCAGCGCCATCTATTGGGATATGAGTTGTAAGTTAATGTCAGAATTCGTAAGTGGTATTTCTTAGTTCACAAGTACCGGCCAGTTTACTGATGACGTGTCTGTATCCACATAGGCGACGTAGGGCTGCTGTGGTACGAGGACAGTCTACCCAGGGCAGCCTATTGTCTCTCTACTCCATTCTGCTTTACGCGAGCAGTGAGCCGCCGCCGAAGAGGAACTGAGTAGTATCTGCTGTCTGCCTGTGAAGTGGCAGTGACAGAATTCGGCGTACCCGGGTCTGGCTAGAGGAAGAGACTACTGACAGTGAGGTGCTACGGAGGAGTGTAACCAGCGAGTTGCAAGAAGCTCCTGCCAGGGGTTCGTTACCCTTGTATTTGTTCGTGTAGAGGCCCAGCAGCGCGAGGCTGATGTTCTCTGCCAGCACCAGGCTGGTGAGTGATTGTGGGCGTGCACAAGGAGCACCTAGTGAGACTGTGTATAGGCTGGCCCATGGCTAGGGTAGACTCGTTGGTGTTTCCCAGTACTGGTTGAGGACGGTACTGCGTGTTGAGGAAACACGGTAGTTGACAAGGCTGCATTGCATGAGCATCGAGGAGCGCTTAGTGTCCTATGAGAGCGACACTTGTGTATATATCAGTGTAGTAACACTTCGTTTATGATTCTATTTACGGTGATGGGAAAGTGATAATATGTGAACATATTGATAAAGGATGAAGTGTCGTATTCCTTTCAACTCCCCCCTTGTGTTTTACTTGTATTACCAAGCTCACGCCTTGAAAGCTACTACCGACTTGGGGTCGGAAACTAGTACTTTGGTTCCTCCAGCAAAGAACCCGGTTGTGGCCCAGAGTGGCCGTAACACACTCTTCCTCTCTCTCTCTCTCTTCCTCTCTCTCTCTCTTCCTCTCTCTCTCTCTCTCTCTCTCTCTCTCTCTCACTGAGAGAGAGACTCTCTCTTTCTCTGGAGGCGCTGATCTCCTGAGGCTACTTAACAGTGACTGCTCTCTGCTGCCAAAAAA